TGCTCACAGTAAGGCTGACTGTGCTTTGGGGTGGGCTGACCTGGATGGAGAAAGGCAAGGTGGGTGGTACTTACAGCTTTGGGAATATGGGCAAATCCTGCAATGTCCTGAATCAAGAGACAAGCTTTGACTGCACCACCAGCCAGAAATTTGCAGGAAGCAAGCTTCAAAAATTGTGCTGGTTTTATTCAATACTAAAAAGACATAATCTCTCAAGTCATGAAAAGATGTAGAAGAATCTTTCACATTACTGAGTGAAAAAAGACAATTTGAAAAAGTTACATACTGTATGAGTCTAAGTATATGATGTTCTGGAAAAGGCATGATTTCAAATGTGAATTTTTTTATTGTATTTTATTTTTTTGGTTGGGGTCTCATTCTGTCATGTTGGAGTGCAGTGGCACAATCACGACTCACTGAATTCTCGACCTCCTGGATTCAGGCAATCCTCCCTCCTTAGACTCCTGAGTAGTTAGGACTCCCGAGTAATTTTTTTTTTTGGTAGAGACAAGGTCTCGCTATGTTGCCTAGGCTGGCCTTAAACTCCTGGGCTCAAGCAGTCCTCCTGCCTTAGCATCCCAATGTGCTGGGATTATAGGCATGAGCCATGATGACTGACTCAAATGTGAATTTCTACACAATGCTGACAACTTATAAATTTATTTTTTCTATTATTATTTTTAAATTATTTCTGAATTTTTAGAGATGGGGACTCATTCTGTCATAGGCTGGAATGCAGTGGTGCAATCATCAGCTCATTGTAATCTCGAACTCTTGGGCTTGAGAGATCCTCCCACATTAGCCTCCCAAAGTGCTGGGATTACAGGCATGAGGCATCATATCTGACCTCTTTTTTTTCTCATGAAAATAATACATGTTTATTGTGGAACTACTGCAAGAGAAGAAAAACATCTGCAGTTCTACCACTTCAGAGCTAAATAGCCATGTTAAAGGTTGGATGTATATCCTTCTATTGTTTATCTGTGTATACACATATATACATATTGACTTATACTTCTCTACAAAAATATACTGAATATTATTTTTTAACTGATTTTGAAAATTAAATGAACATCATTCTATGTAATTAAAGATTCTTATTCAATACTTTGCCTATACACCAAGTTTCTGTTTGGATTTTCCACAATTATCTCATTGTTTGACAATTAATATTTTTCCATTTTTTTCATTTATCTCAGCTACTTCATTAAATGTCCTATGACCAAAGGTTAAGAAATAGAATAGCTGGGCTAAAAGCTGAGATTTATATATCTATCTATCTGTATATATAAACATTTATAAATTTATAATTTATATATGTTAAACTTTTATATGTATAACATGTATAACATTTTGTAATTTTGTAGAGATAGGGTCTTGCTATGTTGCCCAGGCTGGTTTTGAATTCTTGGCCTCAAGTGATCCTCCCCAATGGGCCTCCTAAAGCATTTGGATTATACAGGCATGTGCCCCTATACCCAGCCACTGAGTGTTATTTTAAAGACTATTCATCGTTATTACCAAATTACTCTACCAAACTCTACTCATTCACACTGGCACTTTGCTGATCCTAGGTGTTCTTCTCCCACTCAAACTTTGCTAACTTGACAGGCCTCAAATGGCATCCATTTTATGAAATTTTCTTTAACCACAGTGAAATTGAACATTTGTTCAAATGTTTATTGACTATTAGTATTTTTCTCTGAAAATTTTTTGCATGTGTGCTTTCATGAGGCTGTCTATTGGGGTTCCTCTTTTTCTCAGTGACTTATAAAAATACTTTTAAAATATAAATTCTATTAGCCCTGCCAGTTAAATAGTGTGAACATTTTTCTTCTCTATTTTTACTCTGCTTATAGTGGAATTTTAGAAAACCATTAGATATCTTTGTGTTTTCTGGTATTTTCTTGTCTAATTTACTTGTCACTGATATGGCATTATAGTTCACTTGCCTTAAAGAGTTCTTCAAAGGAGAGCAGTGTGCCCCAAACCCTCTTCAAAGCACACTATAATCATCCAGTGGAAACATCTGTATAATTGCAGCATCATTAATATCTCTGTCCCAGACTTTAAAAACTATAAAGGGCACAGTTCTTTGCATTTGATCATTGGCCCTTATTAAACTTGGCATTTGTTTAACTTGTAGTCAAGGATATCCAAGCCAACTCACAATTTACTATGCAATTGACTACAAATGATTGAGGTGAGGGTTTTTTTATTTTGGGGGCTCTCTCTCTCTCTCTCTCTGTGTGTGTGTGTGTGTGTGTGTGTGTGTGTGTGTGTGTGTGTGTGTGTTTTGATCCAGCTAAAAGAAATTTGTCTCTCTACCACTAAATTATTACATCTTATCTCACAGGCTTTAATAGCATCTAATGGTTCTATCTCTAAGTAATATAATCCAGCTGGAGACCCAAGGTATGTTTTAGAACAAAAGGGTATTTTTCTCTAACCAGTAAAAAAAAAAAAAGATTTTTTTTCTTTCAGCTATAAAAGGACAAAAGGTTTTGCAATGATCCCACTGGGCAGGGTTTCCTAGACTTGTTTTTTTGGCAGTTGGCCATGGAGCTAACTCAGAGTCTTCCAAACTTCTTCCATTTTTGTAGCAGTGTAAAGAATTCTCTGGATGAGACCAGAGTCACTTCATGGTGTGACAATTAATGACCCGGGTCCTCATAACCTAGAGGCCACCACAACCAGACATCTATCAGTTTCAGTGGTGTATGAAGAACTAAAAACATGGTCCTTTTTCCCATTCATTTAAGTACTTTCGCTGCCCCCTCAGGGTTGTATGCGTTCCTCCTTGAGAAAAAACACTGAGCATTTAACACTGTTCTTGAACTCCTGGGCTCAAGCAATCTTTCTGCCTTGGCCTCCCAAAGTGCTGGGATCATAGGCATGAGCCATCGTGTCTGGCCAACATTTAACACTGTAAATATCACAAGAACGGTAAATGATCTATAGCTTCAGTTGGAGGTTGTCAAAGATGTTTGGCTTAACTAAGATATTTTTCTTCTCCCATTTTCAACATTTTAACAGCTCTGGGGCATCAGGTCTCCCTTGTTGATTTTCTGTTTTTGCTTCATAGTCCTGAAATCCAAGAGTATTGTTGTCCATTCTTATTGCCTTATTGCAAGAGTAAAGCGTCCAGTCTACCCACCTAAACTCGGTCTTATTTCTAAAGCATTACTATTGCTAGAGTTAGAGGATAAAATTATATGGATAACTGACACAATTTCTCAAAGCACATACTGAGGAATCAGCACTGTGTAGGTGCTTTATGTGAGTTACCAATACAATCAACAGCAACAACTTGTTATATGCCAGTCACTGTTCTAAACACCTAGGAATATTTAGTCATTTAATCCTTACAGTAACACCCATGGGTTAGGGGCTGTTATAGTCCCTATGTTACAGATGAGTATGGCAAACAAGGGTAGGTGACAGAGCCAGGGTTTGAACTGGTTAAATATGATCCTAGAGCCTGCCCTCTTAACTTAATGGTTAATGTGGCAATGCCACAAAATTGTAATGGTGTTCCCATTTTACAGTGAAGAGTTGGGGCTCAGAGAGGTTAAAAACGTTGAAATAACTTTCCACACTCCTGCAAAATAGCAGAGTTTGGTTTTTTCAAATCTTAATTCTAAAGCCTTCCTCATTTGCCTCGTTTCTCACTCTACAACATGTTTGTTTATACTCAGGGCTTTATTACCTTCAGAGAAAGCTTACCATTGCCTGATACACCGATGCTTAAATGGGCCTGCAACACATTTTCCTGGGTTCTTACTGCACAGGAAGCTAGCCATTTAATGACAGTCTTCGTCTGTGTGACTGACACAATAAGAATTGCCTCTAAGTCTTTCTATACAAATAACTGTAGGATTTAGCTTCTCAGTTCATTTCTGCTTTAGGGACTTTGCATTTTCTGTCCCTTAACTTGAAATACATCATCCCTGGATCTTGACATGGCTGACACCTTCTCAGGTGTCAGCTCAGATGTTGTCAACTCAGTAGGGCTGATCCTCACTACCTGTATTAGTCCCCTAGGGCTACCATAACAAATTGTCACAAACTGGGTGGCTTAACACAATATAAATTTATTCATCAGAGGCTAGAAGTTTAAAACCAAGATGTTGACAGAACCATGCTTCCGCTGAAGGCTCTGGGGGAGGATCCTTCCTTCCCTCTTTCAGTTTCTGATAGCTCCATATGTCCTGTGTCTTGTGGCGCTATAACTCCAGTCTCTGCCTCTGTCTGCATGTAGCTTGCCCCTGTGTATTTCTCCTCTTCTGTATCTTCTCCTTTACTTAAAAGAATACTTGTCATTAGATCCAGGCCCACCTGGATACTCCAGATGAGGTTGAGATGATCTCAAGATCACTAACTTAGTTACATCTGCAAAGACTGTTTCCCTCAAATAAGGTCACATTCACAGGTTCCAGGCAGACATATCTTTTGCAGGGGATTGCCATTCAACCTTAGGTAAAGCAGCTTGCGTTGCTATTATCCTCTGTGACATCATCACCCCTTTATTTTCTTCAAATCATTTGTCCTTATTTGATGCGTCTTGTTCTCTTATCTGTCTACTTTTCTTTTGCCTGTCTCCACTTATTTAAATTCCAAATATTTATGAGTAAAGAGCTATCTTGTTCACTGCTGTATCCTGAGGACATAGACAATAGTATATTATAGGTATCACCAAATATTTACTGAATAAATGAATGAATTAATGATATCATTGGACTAACGTGATGTCAACTTTGCTTTTTGCTCCCTTCAACAATTTTTATGGTTTTATTTTTTGTTATTACTTTATGTTATTTAATTTTCAGTTGTGTATTTTTGGAAATGCAAATGAATTATGGGACATATATTTAAAGTAATGAGTAAATATATCCAACCATTCACCATAACACTCAATTGCTAACTGGTCTTCTTAGTTCATTTAGCTTTTACTTTGCTCCAAGAAATGAATCTCAGAAGAAATTTTCTTTTTGCCTCAGGCTCTGACCACCTCCGAGAGAAAGATGGCCTGTGGGCTGTCTTGGTCTGGCTCTCCATCATCGCTGCCCGGAAGCAGAGTGTGGAGGAAATTGTCCGAGATCACTGGGCCAAATTTGGTCGCCACTACTATTGCAGGTGAGGAAAGCGGGAAGAATCTCTGTATGGACTCTGAGAAGCTATTCTTAGAGCAGGTTTTTAAAACTGATGGGCTAGAACCTTAAAAAGGAGGTACCTTTTGGGAAGATCTGAGGGACACAGAGACTGGAGTTGAATCACCCCGATAGGTGGTTGGGGGTGGTGACCAGGGCTATCCTTTTGGATGGGACAAATTTCCCCTCCCCTGATGACATCTCTCTGTAATATTTTCATTAATGCCTATAAGGCTGGTGGCCATCCACCTCACTGATGGTATGAACATCTGAGATGGCTGAGCTGGCACCCTTTGAAGGGGTCACATGGTTCAGGAGCCCCAAACTTTGCTAAAGTTTTGTCCTCATGAAAGGAGGTTCAGAAAAGGGAAACATTACTTGAGGAGGAAGAGGAAAGATCAGTGGGAGTGGGCAGGAGTTTAGGTTTGGGGTCTCTATCACTTTCCTACTGTTGAAGTAAGTACGAGTAAGAGAATTCTGGATGAGTGGTTGCCTCCTAAGTATTTGAACTTAGGTATGCTAGGTGTGTGCATAAGCCTAGTGCAAATCCATGGCTTAAAGGGAGAGAGTAGAAAAGGATGTTGTAAAGAACTTGGAGGCGGGGCAAGAGAATCCTTGGGTATTAAAAACAGAGAGATTGTGGCTCATTTTGCTTTGCTTATGAATAGTTAACTACTTTGGATGTTTGGTTGTGTTTCAAGAGCTTGAGGGACAGAAAGGGAGCTTTAAATTTCCCTTATAAGGTGACTGTTTCTTCTCTTAAGAAGTCATTTACTTAGATAAATATCGGAGGATAAGGAGCTTGTGTTAGTACTCATTAAAGTCAAAGAGATTGCAACCTTCTGGGAAGCGTAGATGACACCATAATATTCTTGGCTTCTATTCAATCAAGAAGGCTGGGATGGAATAGCCTGCAAAACCCCTCAAATTATTCATTGTATTATTAAAAAAAAGGCATTGTATTATAAAAAACCCTTCAAGGCAAGTAGAAACTTATTTTACTCATTAGTATTTCTAACAAATGCCCAAAGCCCCTGATTCTTGTTTTTTTTGTTTTTTTCTTTTGTCGTACCAAGGGCTTATTGGCACATGAAATCCTCCTGTTGCATGGAACACTTCCCAAAAGTCCAATCCGATAAAATATATTATGCTGCCAACCTCTGGCTTAGTGAAATCACTTTGAGTCAGAGTTGTGTTCCTCATAATTTGTGGAATGATTATCTGGATTACCAGGTTCTCCTGGTGTTTTGAAGAATTGGTATTATGATAAGTGTATTTATAATATAGTTTATTTTTTGTGGCCAAGAGCTTACATGATAATTACTTCTTTATAACAAATGCCATATTAGAGAATAACATGCAATGAAGATTTAATTACTTGTAGGACATTGAATGATGTCTCAGATTTCTGTCCAAAAAGATCACAGAGACAAAGAAAAAGGGAGGAGGGGATAGGTAGAATGAAAGCTAAACATTTCCTTCAACCCCCAGGAAATAGCAAATTGAAAGGTGCTGTGAAATAGAATTATTTCTGGCTTGACAATTTTCTTGTCAGGGAGATGCTAATAAAACAATTTCCATTTAACTGAGCCTGAAATTGTAGCCAAGAAAATCTCCAAGATGGTTATCCTTGTATGAGTAGACCCCAGAAATAATTATTCACTTAAATATTTCTTCCTTTAAGAGTTGGTGTTGGTGTGATTAGAGGGAAGATTTTAGGGTGAGAAGTGGTGCTAGATGCTGCTTGTATATGAGGATGAACATTTAGACAGGCTGGCCTGATGACCTGGGCAAGATCAATCACATGGATCTTCTCAACTTCTGCATCTCTTTCTTTTCTTTTCTTTTCTTTTCTTTTTTGAGTTAGAGTCTCACTCTGTCGCCCAGACTGGAGTGCAGTGGCCGCTCCCGGCCACCGCAGCCTCGACCTGCTGGTCTCCGGCGATCCTTCCGCCTCAGCCTTCCAAGTAGCTGGAACTACAGGCGCGCACTACCACGCCCGGCTGATTTTTTTATTTATTGTAGAGATGAGGTCTCGCTGCCCAGGCGGGTCTCAAACCCGCGAGCTCAGGCAATCCACTCACTTTAGCCTCCCAAAGCGCGGGATGCATCTCTTTCAATTCTTCTGTATCTTTTACTAGACTCTCTTATCCCCTCTTCCTGCCCCTTTCTTCTTGGTTAGGTCTTTGCCTTCCCCAAATGGCTATCTTTAAAGCAAATCTAGTCTCAGAACACATGCACTACTGAAAAAGAACGTTCTGTGTGTGTGTGTTTCTCCAACTGGGGAAGACATACCTTGAATAAGAGAAAGAAAAATGAAAGAAAGGGATATAGATGAAGGGGACCCACTTCTAGATATGGTATCATCCTATATTTTCCATCTTGGCTGATATCCTGATGTTTACTAGACGTCTTAAAAGATCTTGGGTGGAAAAAGTAGTAACCACTATTCAGAGGTTCCTTCTTTTAGTTCACTCTGAGAACTCACATCCTTTCTCTATGCCTCAGGAAGCCCAGCTGTGGGATCCTTCCACAGGCACTTGGTGCAGCTGCCCTTCTTAGGGCTTCCTTCTTAAACACATTTCCTGGGTGTGCTATTAGGTCTCAGCCAAGACCAACCAACACTGGAAAAGACCATACAGTTTCTTTATGGTAATGACTGAGAATAACAGCAGTTAGCCAATTTTAAGTACTGGTGCCTGGCACCATGCCAGCACTTGGTATGCATCATCATGTTTTAAACTCCATAACAACAAATGGGATAGGTATTATTTTTAGTCTTTTATTTTTTTCTGATTGCCTCCCAGCCCCATTGTTACATTTGTTCTTGGCTAGCAAGACTTTTTTTTTTTAATGGAACAATTGTGACATTCTTCCAAGTTTCCAAGAGAAGGTATGAAGGGGGACCTGAAAAAAAAAAAAAACTCTGGAATTATTTCTTGAAGGGCAAGTTTCTTGTAATACAGGCTTCCCCTGCTAGGTAAATGTTCTGGGAACCTATTGGCATCAGTGCACCAGCTAGTGTTGTTGTGAGGGGCCGCATGTGGCTTCAGTGAATTTTTTTTTTGAGATTCTTTCAATGCATTTGCCCATTTCATGATGGGTGATTTACGAGTGCACCTTCCCACAGTGCTGAATGTTCAGCAGTTTTTGAACAAAAATAGCATGACCTCCATGCCCTACTCCCCTCCCCACCCCACCCCCATATCCCATTCATCTGATCTCATCCCAGGTGACTTTTTTGTTGTTGTTTCCCTTGATTTAAAAAAAAAAAAAAAAAGTCCTCAAAGGGAAATGTTTTGCTGATGTGAAAGAGTTGAAACAAAAATGACAGAGGCACTGAAAGGCGTCAAAATTAATGATTTCAAAAACTGTTTTGAGCTGTGAGAAAACCATCTTGATAGGTGTATTGCATCAGATGAAGAGTACTTTGAAGGTGACTGAAGTGTAAACATGTAAAAATAAAATACAATTTCTAATAATGAAATTCTGGTTTTGGGCGGAGGGTCCCCCCTCATATACTTCATTCCTTTTCTCCCTCTCTCTTTGCCTCCTTTGGTTTCTTTGTCTTTCTTTCTGCCATCTTTTATTTCACACTATTGACATAGCACTTACTCTGTACTAGAAATAGCAGAGAACAAGACAGTTAAGGTTTCTGCCCTCCTAGAGCTCACATTCTGGTAAACAAAAACAGACAATAAATAAGTAAGCAAATATATGAACAAGATAAATACAGATTGGGATAACTATTCAAAGAAAATATAAAAGATGATGAGAGGGGGAAGGAAGGAAGAAGTTACCTCAGATAGATGGTCAGATAAGGTCACTTTCTGAAGGTGACAATGGGTTTGCAAATTGAAAGAGAGAATGATCCAGCTGTTTGAAGAGCTGGGGAAAGACTGTATGAGGTGGAGGAAGATACAGCAAGGTCAAAGGCCCACAGGAAGGAAAAGGTGAAGTGTCACTGAGGACTAGAGAGGAGGCCAGTGTGGTTGGAGCAAGTAAACAAAAATGAAAGGCAAAATATAGTCAAGTCAAGCAGGTGGGCAGGGGCAGATTCCACTGTGCCTGATAGACTATGGCTAGGGTTTTGAGTTTCGTTTTCAATGTGATGTGCATCTTCAGAGGGATTTAAAGGATAACAATGGCATAATTTGATTTTTACAAGATCACTCTGGCTGCTGTTCAGGGTATGGATTATAAGGGCCAGGAGGAGAAGAGGAGACCGGTTGAAGGTTTTCTATGATATTGTTTTTCTATGATATTGTTCCCTGAAAACAGAACTGATGATTAGATGATCCTGAGCAGTCCACCAATGGCTGCTTCTCTGATTAGGTTTCTGTTCATCCTGTGTCCTCACCAGGTTTGACTATGAAGGGTTGGAGCCTAAGACAACGTATTATATCATGCGGGACCTGGAGGCCCTGGTCACAGACAAGTCCTTCATCGGCCAGCAATTTGCAGTGGGGAACCATGTCTACAGTGTGGCGAAGACAGATAGTTTTGAATATGTGGACCCTGTGGATGGCACCGTGACCAAGAAACAGGTACTTGCTAGGGAATCACTAAGACATGTTGTCAGGCAGAACTGGTGGCCAAAGTGTCCTAGAACCGGAGAGTTCTCCAGGAATGGTCTATTCTGAGCCCTTCCTTTTACATATGAGGACTCTATAGCCAGGAAAGAAGAAAGCCCTTGATGAGGGTCACCTAATTAGTTAGTGGCAGAGGATGGATTAGAATACGGGCCATCTCTGTTCTGTATTCTTTCTACTTGATAATGGATGAAATATCTCAAATAGATATAGAGCTAATATTTTCTTCTAAGATGTGTGTAGCCTGCAGGGGTCCTTATGTGGTGGCCATTACTGGTGATGGATTCAGAAAGTTTTCCAAAAGCAAAAGATCCTTATCCTTGAGACTCCCAGATGCAGAGATAGTTCACCTTCTATTACCTTATGTCATTGAGGAATCATGGAAACTTAGCCAGATGAGTTCAGTACCCTGGTAGGGAAGAATCAGTTGGGAAATTTGCTCAGAAAACCCAAAGGGAAGACATATGATAATGATTATTATAGGTAAGTGGCAAAATCAACCACAACTTCAGTTATGGACTTATCTTTTTGAATTGTGTAAGAGAAGAAATTGATAGCTACTACAATTATTTTTCTTCTCAATTTTGTTTATTTACTGGCGTTGATAAATACTGACCCCTCTGGAAGCACGTGTTAACATATATAGTCTAAATCACATACCCAAGTAATGCGAATGTTGAGAGATTAAGAAATGTTCCGTTCTAAAATATCCAAGATCTTATCTTTTTATACATTTTTCCTAAGTATAAACTGTAAGTCAGAAGCTGCAGGTCTTTGGGGTCTACAGATAATGGTAGTTACTATTTTAATTGGACTCACTTTTCCTATATACTCCTTGTCCTAGGGTCTCCTGACTTGCAGATACTCCAAATCCCCATACCCTCTTGTTCCTCTCTCTCTCGTTTGCTTAATTTTATGGTGATCTTTCATTTCTACCAAAATGTCAGTCTTGCATTCTAGAAGCTCTTCTGTGACCCAGGAAATTGATAACAACCTCACTTTGGAAAGGTGTAAGCATAGCAGAGAAGACAGTGGGGTGGGTAAGTAGTTAGAAGACTCCAAATCAAACTGTACTGCTGCCACTTAGTTGTGTGACTTTGGGAAAGTTGCCTAATTTCTCTGAGGCACAGTTTCTTACCCATCTGTAAAATACCTGTCTCACAGAATTGTTTTAGAAATGGAATGAAATGAAATACACAAAAACTCTTAGCTATCCTTTATGTAAGGAGTGAAGAATATATTTTTGCAGCTGTGTTTTATTTTACCAGAGGAAGGCTGCTGGTAGACTGAACTGAATTCACTGTGAAATAACACCAGTGAATCAACTCTTGGAGAAGTGATATCAGGAGCTCAGGTGTCATCTTTGATGGCCATCTGATGGCCTTGGATAGTCTTTTCTAGTTTTGTATCACATTCCCACTTCCATTTCAAACAGGGCCCTTAGAACGTATTTTTCCTAAATCCAAGGCTCAATTTGTTTTTATTACTGTAGTATTCTAGAGACATAAAATAACCTACTTTCTAATGTATCCTCACAGGGTTTTTGTTCACTAACAAGGAAGGTTTGGAAAACCTTCCTTGGAGAAATTGGTCCAGTCAATACTAGGTTCTGGGCTTTATCTACTCATAGGAAGCCTGTCTGTTGAGCTCATTTATTTTGCTGTTGATCCAATATTATTCTACCTTATACCTTGCTCATTGCACTCAGCACTTGTATTTTCTTTAATCAGTCATATTAGGTTAATTCCTCAACTGGATCCCAGGTTTTAACATCTATTTATTTCATTTTTCCTCCCATTCTACAATCTTGAATATTGGTTTTCATTTTTACCCTGGAATTTATTGATTCCCTCTCCCTTTTCACACTCTTTCATTTGAACTTAAAACAGCCACAAATGGAAAAATGCTATAAGGACTTGCTCTTGGGAGTTTTTCTAGTAAGGAAGATAGGAAGTCTGTTGTTAATTTTCCCAGATTCTAGGACCCAAGTGACATTTTCATTGGCTGGAGGCCCTGAGTCACACTGGATCCTCTCTACAGGTCTGGGTTTGGCTCAGGGCAGTGAGAGACCAGATAACACTCAGTGGCATCTCCATTGTCAGCAAGTCACAGATGGTTCTTTTGCTGCAGTTGGTCCTGTTGGGTAGCAGGGGAATACCCTGCATGGTGGTGCTGTTGCAGCACTCTTGGGATGTCAACAGGTATCAGCATTCAACTCCAGAGAGAGTTTTAGGTACACTTCAGGTAACATTGTGCAAAACAAGCATATTTTTCAAACCGTAGACACCTAAAAGACATATCTAAATTTAATAAACAAGTATTATTTTAAAATAGTAAAGAGTATGCTGGTGCATTCATTCATTAGATATTTACCGAGAGTCTGCTGAATGCATAATTTGGTTATTTCAGGGTACCGTTTTAAAAATATAAATATATAACAGCTTCACTGAGATAATTCACATACTACGCAATTCACCCATTTAAAGTATATACTGTAATGATTTCTATATATTTATAGAGTTGTACAATCATCACCACAATCAATTTCAAAAGACTTTCATCACTCCAAAAAGAAATCTTGTACCTTTTAGCTGTTATTTCCCTTCCAACACCTCTTCAATTCCCAGCCTCTAATAATCTTTCATCTACATTCTCTATGGATTTGCCTAGTTTGGGCATTTCACATAAATGGAATCATATACTATGTGGTCCTTTGTGATGAGTTTTTTCACTTAGTGTAGTGTTTTCAGGGTTCATCCACATTGTACCATATATTAACACTTCATTTCTTTCATTGCTGAATCATATTCCATTGGGTAGATACACCACATTTTGTTTATTCATTCATCAGTTGATGGACATTTGGGTTGTTTCTACTTTTTGGCTATTATGAATAATACTACTGTGAAATTCATATACAAGTTTTTGTATAGACATGGATTTTCAGTCCTCTTGGGTATACACCTAGGAGTGGACTTACTGTGTCAAACGGTTATTCTATGCTTACCCCTTAAAGGAACTGCCATACAATCTTTAGAAGCAATGGCAACATTTTACATTCCCACCACCAGTGTATGAGGCTTCCAATTTCTCCACACCTTTGCTAACCCTTGTTATTGTATCTTTTTGATTTTTCGAATACTGTTGTTTTAAACAACCTATATATTATATTATGGATTGTATAAAATTAATATATTAATAAAATTAATGTATTCTATTAATATATTAATAGAAGGAGATTTGATTTCCATAAAGGGAAACAGAAGTATGTCTCTCGTTAGCAAAACCCAACAGAACTATAATATCGCAAAGTTTCCATTTGTGGTGACAGCCAGGTTGTAATGATCCTCTTCAGTATTCTATTTTATTGGAGTCAGACAGATGCAGATTTAAAGACTGATTTTGTCACTGTCTAGATTTCTGACTTTGGGCATGTTGACTTTTCTGATCCTCAACTTAGAGGTGGGGATGCCAATGATGTTTACCACATACGATAATGGAGAAGGTTTGAAAGGAAAGTACTATAAAGCCCAAAGTACAGTGGCTGGTATCTAATCAATGTTGAAGAAATACCAATTCCCTCCCTCTTAATAGAATCCTTAGTTTGACTGAAGATCAGTTTGAGGAAATGATAAATATCTTATTCTCTCTCTCTGACACACATAACGCATATTTAATTATAAAAAATAATCTTAATTACACCCTAAGGAAGAAAAAATTCACCCAAATCTTCTATTTATTCTATTTTTAATGTACTTGCAGTAAAATTTGAGGTTCAGATGGATGATCCCGAGGTAATTGGAGACTCCCAGTTATCTTTTGTTTGGTTTAAATTCTACTTACTAAAGAGACAAAGTTGATAACAGAAGTAATTTTCAATAGCAAATTTTTAAACAAAATTTTTGCTATCTCCCTTTTATCCAGAAATTATCTTTAAGCACAAAATTCTGCTCCAGAACACATTGTGCCTCACAGCGCTACTGCAAAGTGGGTGAACAGTGTTTGAATGTATAACAAGCTTGAAGTCAGAAAGTCTTGGGTTTGCATCCTAACTCTGCCACCTCCTTGCTGGGTTATCCTAAGCAAATTATTCAACCTCCCTGCACCTGCTTTTTCTTATCTGTGAAATAGGAATAGTAATTGTGACTACCTCATATAGGCATAGGGAGATTTAAGTGAAATAATTCATGTAAAATTCTGGCACATAAAATATGCTAGTAAATAGTTAACTAAAGTTAATTATGTTAAAAGGGCATCCTTGGGAAAGATTGTGGCATTTAATGAAAAAGCAGGGGAAAGCATACAGTTTTGCATAGTGTCACATAAAGACAGGAGAAGCCCTCTTCAGTTTCTGAGTCATCTGAGAATAGATTCAAACTTACTTTTCTTTGCCTCCTCCAAGTCACCCCACCCCCTCAACACACAACTTCGAACTCGGCCTCAGAAAGGAAAAGGTTTTCTAAGGCAACTTACTCTCCTTTTTGTCCTTGACTTTGAGGTCAGAGTCAGGAAACAGACCATGGGAAAAAGAAAAAAAAAAAGCTGTTTCACTGTTTCACATACATCTCTGAAGATAAAGTAGAAATGCTTCTCCACTCAAAATGTAATTAAAATCCTGTTCTGGTGATAACCTCCTACCCCCTGCCAGCCCCACTGCTGTGGAGATGTTCAGTGAAGTCTATCCTGCCTGTAAGACCCTGTGGGGTCATTCAAGGAGCAAGAAGGAAACTCTGAAGTACTCAACACATGGCAGGAATTCCCAGGGACTTCTCTGGCTTCACTGGGGCTTGTTGGGTTTCATGGGATTTACTGTGGCTGCCTCCAAGTGTCAGATATATTTGTGAACTTGGGCGCCAAAAGAAAAGTTGATGTGTGCCTTCCATAAAATGTAATGAGGCGGCGTGGTTCAACAATTGTAGTTCTTCCTTTTCTCTTCCCATGAGGATACATCACTG